TCTCTCTCTCTCTCGCGCGCGCTCGCTCTCTCTGTCTCTCTCTCTCTCGCGCGCTCGCTCCCTCTCGCTCTGTCTCTCGCTCGCTCCCTCTCGTACTCTCTCGCGCGCGTTCGCTCTCTCTGTCTCTCTCTCTCTCGTGCGCGTTCGCTCTGTCTCTCGCGCGCTCGCTCCCTCTCGCTCTGTCTCTCGCGCGCTTGCTCTCTCGCGCGCGCTCGCTCCCTCTCGCTCTCTCCCTCGCGCGCTCTCTGTCTGTGTAACTGGGACAGCGTCTCTCCCCGCCCAGGTTGATTATAAAGCTGACGACTGGCTCATGAAGAACATGGATCCCCTCAATGACAATGTGGCCACTCTCCTGCACCAATCAGCAGATCGTTTTGTGGCTGAACTCTGGAAGGACGGTAAGGGCTCCCTGTATCCCGCACTGCTGCTCCCCGAAGTTCTCTCTTTCCCATTCCCCCTACCCCACACCGCCCCTCCCATTCCCTCAGTCTCTTCCCTCTTCCCCTCTAAATCCCACCCCCCCCCTCTGTCTAAGCGTGACTGTTTCTGAGTTTCTCTCTCTTCTAACCCTCTCGGCATCCCTCGCACCCCACCTCCTCCAATTTCTCTCTCACCTCCCCCCCTTTCTTTGTCGCCCCCACCCCCGCCATCCCTTTCCCTCCCCCTCTCTCGGCCCTGCCCATCCTCCCTGTCTCTCTCTTGCCCGCCATGCTCTCCCTCACTCCCCGCTCTCTCTGCCTCTTTCCGCACAGTTGACCGGATTGTGGGCCTGGACCAGGTCTCGGGGATGAGTGACGTGACGTTTGTTGGCTCCTCCTACAAGACCAAGAAGGGGATGTTCCGAACCGTGGGTCAGCTCTACAAGGAGTCCCTGTCCAAACTGATGGCCACCCTGCGGAACACGAACCCGAACTTTGTACGCTGTATCATTCCCAACCACGACAAGCGGGTCAGTGTCGGCCTGGGGTCCCTAGAGTATATCCATCTCCCTCCAACAGTGCGGTGCTCCTTCAGTACTGGCGCCGGGAGGGAGGGAGGGAGTGTGGGCCTGGATTATGGAGCTCGAGTCTCCCTAGAGTATATCTATCTCCCTCCGACAGTGCGGTGCTCCTTCAGTACTGTCACCGGGAGGGAGTGTGGGCCTGGATTATGGGATGTTTACTGTTGGCAGAATCTTTTGTCTCTTGGCTGTGTTTGATTAATGACTGTCTCTCTGTTGCTCTGTCTGTCTCCCTGCCTCACGCCCTCTCTCTGTCTGCCTCGCCCCCGTCTGTCCCTCCTTCTGTATGCCCTCTGGCTGCTCTGCACCCCGCCGATCGCCCTCGAACAGGCCGGCAAGCTGGAGCCCCACCTCGTGCTGGACCAACTGCGTTGTAACGGGGTGCTCGAGGGGATCCGTATCTGCCGACAGGGCTTCCCGAACAGAATCGTCTTCCAGGAATTCCGCCAGAGGTGAGTCTGCCATGGGGCGGTTCCCGTCGGTGACCCACAGGGTACACCGTTTACCCTCTTGTTCTAATAACAAAACCCAGGGTTCACTCGTTCCATCTGTTCAAACTGTACAGTTCTCAATCCCAGCCCCTCACTGGACGGGGAGGGTATAGGTGCCGGGGGGTTTCGGAAGGTGCGGTGTGTCTTGCAGACAGTGCACACTGCTGCGGCCGTGCGTTGTGGGGGCGGAGTGGATGTTGAAAGGTGGGGGAGGGGGTTAGCATGTCGATCGAGCTGGGAGGGTGGGTGCGGGGCAAGGAGGGGGCTACTCTGTCCCTGGGACGGTGTTGAGCCTCTCGAGTGTTGTCGGAGCTGCCCCCCCCCCC